TCTGGAAATGTGGAAGACTTTTAGGTACAAATAGTACAGTAAGTTAAAGCATGAGCCACATTACCAGCAAGTAATTCTGTTGAGGTGCATGTGATACCAACATCTCTCAAGGAGAAGAAAAAAAAAGCGCGAAACATTTAGTTAGATTCAGATATGCAAACAATTTAATACTGAAAAATTAGTCAAAGCAACAGTGACTGATAGATAATGTTTTCTTCCAGTCTTGAGCAGGACTCAGGCAATTCCTTGCTCGTGCAATAGGCTCAATGGGCAAGGAAAGCAGAACGTAGCCAGCGAGTAACAAAATGTGAAAGAAGTGGTAGCAAATTGTGATGAACGCTGGGGATGTGGTTTTGTTTTTTTAAACTGTAACTAAATGCTTAACCTGTTTTAGTGAGAAAGGTGGAAAATGCAAATTATTTGCTGGAAAAAACAAAACAAAAGACCCCCCATTTAAAACAATAAAAAGAATAATAAAAATAATTCTTATCTTGCCACAGCTCCCTGACCGCCATAATTTCTTACCTTAAAAAAAACCAAACACAAAACACACTCGCACGCGCGCGCGCACACACACACACACAGGACAATTGTCATGTTCATTCGTTTCAGAGCCCTTACAAAGTAAATTCTACTTTTGAATTTTAACTGTATGAATTTTTAAAAGTGCAAATTTAAAAAGCAACACTAATCATGACATATAACGCAAGCTCAAGCATCTTCCCTTCAAAGAGCTGGGAACACTTTGCACATTTTAAGAGAGAGTGCATATAATCGCAAATGTACCGCCCCCAGCCTGAAGCGTTTTTATGAGGCATTTCAAGTGTCTAACAGATACGAGTCCTCACATGGGAAGCTGATCCTGAAACATGCGGATTTGCACAGCCAACAGGTAAAGAAAACACAAATTCTAATACACTGATCCAGTGTAGAAATCAATCTGCTTCCAAATTAAAAAATGATGTGGTTGTGCTCCCAACTGAGGGAAAGAAAGCAACTGAAAAAGTAGTGGCAAAACTGGAAAAAATCCCCTAGCCTTGATGTCCATTCTCTGAGCTTTGTGTACTTTACGTTTTCCTGCTTTCCCCGTCTTGCCAATAAAATGGAATAAAACTTCAGGAAAAAGGAGGTAGCAATATCATGTTGTCCAAAGACAACACTACAATTTATTTTCCCATCATCTTAAATCTAAGGAGAGCCTTAGGGTTTTGTTAGAATAACTGGTAAACTCTACACAACTCTATTTAGCTCTTATTTGGACTACTGAATTTAGCTCTTATTTGGTCCTAGTTGGCTTTTGTCAAACCATTTTATTTAAAGGCCAAGGGCAGTCTTAGTCTGATGTTTAACATCAGAATTGCTTAGAGCATGTAGTGAGATATTAGAACAAAAACAATACTACCTTTATGTTAACTGCTATTTAATTAGGGTTTTCTTTTTTGTGCTTTCAGATCACTGGATAACTACATTAAGCTCATCCACTTCGATAACATTTTTGCAAAATATAAGTTACAAGGTGGTATCCCTCATGCTCTCAAACTGTCCATGGAAGATCGCTTGCTCATTGTAAAACACAGTACTTTTTATAATCCGATTCAAAATCTTCATCCATGCTGCTCGTGTCTGCCATCTTTTTGCCATCTATCTTTGGCAGAAATTGTGCATAGTCTACCCCCTGCTGCTCATAGAAAAGAATGTAGGCAGAGTCGGTGTCGATTTCATCAGGATGTAATTCCTGTGAAGAAGAATAAATACGTACTGACATATACAGTCAGTATACAACAACAGTGCTACCAGCGCTGAATTTAAACACGCGCATTCCCGGCAAAAACAAAGCTTTAAAAGTGGATGGCCAAAGCCAGACCAGTTAAATTCTCACATTTCCCTTCTTTAATTCCACAGGCTCAACTATTTACTTGAAAAATGAGGATTCCTATAAATGAGAAATTCGATTACTAAGGGAAAGTTTAAAAATCCTGATTTATCCAGTAGCTGCAATGGAAAACATCCCACACAAGTACAGAATACTCCTAGACTTATCTTTCTGGCCAACTTTTCCATTTTGGCTTTAAATAATCAAGTCACTTTTCTTACCTGTGTTCACACCTAACATGCCAATTTTAATTTTAAAAAGTTCTCAAGAGGTTTCAGCTCACCATTTTAATGTTCATGTTAGGTATTTATATTTCCAGAGACCGGGTCTTACAACATTTACATTTCTTCTCAAGAGTTTACTTAAACACCCTCCTGACCTCATAATTTCTTTACAAGAATTAAATACATACCTTGCAGCTACTGTCGTTATAGCAGTACCACTTGTTATTTGGGTTTTTGGCATAAGTAACATAATGACCCCCTCCCATAATTCCTGAATGGCACTAAAAAAGGAAAGAGACAACATGAACCAGCATTTGTAGGAGAACGCAATGAAATCTGTGTTCGGAAAATGCGTGCGAATGGACCTCACCATAACACCACGCAAGACAGAAAAGAAAAAGGAATCAACAAATCCTAAAATGTTCATCTACTGAATGGGTCAATTGTTTAGGCTCTCAGATCAAACCCTTTCCTGGCCAAAGTGTCAGCGCAGCCTACAGGGGCATAAGGGCTGCAGTTTAAAACCAGGACAATTACTCAGAGAGATGAAAAGGTATTAAAGACCACAGAACCTCCACGTCTTGCGGATGCTGGCGATTCCAGTTCAACATGGACAACCCAAGCTTAAATTTCTCTCTTCTGCCCTCTTCCCTTTTTCTCCTGCACACATTACTATTTGCCTATCCCTCCTAACCCTGAAGACATGCAGTTCCCCTCTTCCCCATGTCCATGCTATTAACAAATATTACCAATGTGGTCTTGTATAAGATTTAGTAAGTTGGTTTTGTAATTTTTTTTGTCAGCACAGCTAGGAGAAACTTGTTTACAATGTGATCATCTAATCCCTTGATTGCTGCAACCACTGGTGCCCATGTCTCCTCTTCCAGATACCTAAACAATATTACAAAAAGATTATTTTCTCTGCCTATTCCATTGACAGATCAGCTGCATCTTCGAGCCCTTCCCCACTACCTTCCTTTTGCCTACCACTTCTTCTCTCCATCTTTAAAGCCTGCAAAGTTCTGGAACCACTGATGTCAAAGGTAAATTTTCCAACAACTTAAATAGGGCTAGGGTTTTATCTATTCCCCCACACCAACATTGATATCCTTTCTGAGGATTCCTCAGGTCACCTGAAGAAGAATGTCTTGCATTCAAAAGCTTCTCTCTTTTCCAATGGCATAGTCACTCCAATAAAAAGGTAACTCTAAGAAATCTGGCTGGGGTCGTCTGACCCCAGCGCTCTTTCCTGCCTAGGCAGGGGGTCAGACTCGATAATCTGTCAAGGTCCCTTCTGACCCTAACTTCTATGAATCTATAAATCCTTGCTCCTTGCATAATCTCTGGCCCATCATGGCTACAACATGACTCTTGCACTCTTGTTTCTCTCAGACGTATCATGTGCCTTCAAGGTTGTCCTGAAGACTTTGAACAGCTGTTCTCAATGTTTTAAGACTCATGGTACCCCTTGCTAGATTCCAGGCACCCTTGGAAAAATGTCAGGTCTTAGCGGTCACTCATTTCTTGAGTGGGGAGAAACAGAGTAATTCTGCTATTAAAAAGAACTCGAGAAGATCACAAGTCAGAATAATTTTTGATGCTACAGATACTTGTGAGAAACCTTGGGTTTCTCTCATGAATCATGGGTTGGTGTTTGCACACTTAACAGTGCTAATACTGCGCGGCACCCCACGTCACCCTTAAAAGGACCTTGCACTGCCATTTAGATGCGCTTTACATGCATAAAACATCAACTTACCGAAATTGCATATAGATTGTAAATAGGGTTGACACCAACTTCTTCTCTTTGGTCATCTGTAATATCCTCCTCGCTGTGGTTATCCATCTGACCATTGATACTGCCATTACTATACGTGTTCTGCTCACAAACATATCCATTGGCTACAGTCATCTCATTGTCCTGAGCAGTAAAGAGCTCATTCTGGCTACCACCCAAAATACGCCCTCTGCTAAAGGCATCTCCTTGGTCAGAAGTGAATTTCTGCTCGGGGTCAGTACCATTGTCTTTACTTGCATCCAAGTTTTCTTTGCTACTTGACAGTTTGTTTTTGCCTAGCTGTGGTAGCCGAAGCCGCCCTTTACCTCTTCCTAAAGTCCTTGGGCTACTATTTGGGCTACCGGTTTTACTTGAAGGACAGCTGGTTCCACCTCGCCTTCCTGGTGATGGAGATGCTGGAACATAAAGAGGATAAAACCCTGTAAAATGAAAGCCTTAAATTTCTGAACAGAAGAATTTTTCCAGTAATTAGAGATATTAAACACACAATCCAGCCTCACTTCAGCCAACACAATGCATGAAAAGGACTACAATCTGAAACTGTTAATTTTGCATGGATTAGATGTCAGGTTTGCTGTGTAAGAACCAGTCATTTACTTTCCCAACATCCACAATGGCACAAACAACAATGGTACAAGCCTCGAGTCACGAAGTTAGAAATGCATATATATCTATCATGACCAAGTAACTCAGCTTCTTATTAATACATACTAATAAGATTTTGCTGAGAGCATGCACTCTTCAGCTGGCACATACTCCACTAGTTCAAGGTAAAGTGATTTTGAAGGAGAAACTATCATACTTTGCACTAAAGTATAACTGCTGACTTCCACCTCAGGAAGCCTCTGGTGTCCTTTACTTGTTGCCTACCTTTGATATTATTCAAGATGCTAGTAGTGTTGAGCGAGGAAGGACTTCTGTTCAGCACATCCCCTTCGCCTGCTGGGCAAGTGTTTTGAAGATCTGCTTTTCTAGACTCCCCTTGCAGAATCTGTGGCTCAGAGAGATCATCAACCTGGGGCGTTAGCTGCTTTCGCTGACAAAGACTTGGATCCTTTTGCACCAGAAAGGCACTCGGGTCAAAATTCTCTCGAGGAAATTTAACAATTTTCTGAGATTTTATCCAGCGACCATTTACAAATTGAAATCTTTTCAGGTGAATTATCTAGTATGAAACACATTACAGAGAATGACCAATCAGTAATTTAAATGGTTATTTATTTTGATGTGCATGTGCTTTATGATGGCCTGAATCAACTTCCAGCCATGTATCACGTGCTGTGGGCAGCTTCTATCCACTGCTTCAATGGGGAAGTGATGGAGAGAACTGCATCCAGTTGTTTATCAGCTTGGGGTGTTTTTGAAAACTTGCTCGACTCAAAGGCAGCAAAGGCAGATGTTGTGCAATTACAGAAAAGATAAAGGCTAGGCTGTCACTAAGACTACTTAAACGAGGAGCTTATGCTGCAGTGCAGGCATGAGAGCCAATGTAATGTAAATATTAATCAGCTGCTGCAGCACATCAGCTCATTTAAGCAGATGCATGGTAAATATTGTTTTGCTTACAATACAGAAAACTGATGACACATGTGACAAGCCAGGTTAGAATGGGCCAGGAGCCATACGTGTGGTTCACTGGAGAGAGAACAGAACAGAACAGAACAGAACAGAGAGAGAGAGCTAAGCCTTCTTTGTTCTAGGAAACAAGTCATTCAAAACATTGTGAGGAACAACTTTTTCTTTTCAGTTACAGAAACAAAGAAAATTATAGGAAGTTATACCAGGATAGGGGGAAGCCTCCAAAGATCCAGCTTTTTGGTGGCTAGACAATGAGTCTTGCACTTCGAACAGTAATACATCTCATCTTCACCCAGTTCCTCCTCACTGGTAAAAGCTCTCAGACAGCTATCCAGATTGATGGGCTCTGCTTGAGCTCGCCGGCTTTGTTCAACACTTTCATGCTCTTCTACAATCTGAAGAGGCGAGATCAATACTGCATCTTGACAACTTTTCTAATATCTCAGAAATATGCTGTGCATTTCAGAAGTCATCCCTGGGGTTTTTAAGAACCTTGCAAATTTACTAGGAAGTAACAAATCTAACTTGTTTGCAAAGAACTTCAGATGCAATTCTGCATGATTAGTGACACTGCGGACACGTGACTTTTTAGGAAACTCGGAATGGTAAATAGATAAAAATACTGATAGAAATATTGACAGCAAGTTTTTCTACTTGGGGACATTACGGAAGTCAGACAGAAGAAGCTAAAACATTTTAAAAGACTTCTATAAACAGCTTGGAGCTGTGCTTTCTTTTCCAGATACTTTACCTTACCTATATGTCTTTAAACAAGGATTTTTCAGAGCCTGCATCTTTTTGACCAGTGTCAAATTCTGGATATTCAGGTCAAAAGGTCATGGAGTCTTGGTATCAGGGATGTTAGTAAGAACCAGGATAAATTTAGGAGATACTTTAAAAAAATTATACTACAGGCTAATAGCTTTTGCATCTTTTCTCTTAATAGGTCATTAATTTTCCCTCTCGCATTAATACACTGTACGTATAACAGTAAGGATTCTTATTTAGATGCAGTTTTTAAAGTGTTCCCTTTAGAATTTACTCCTACTGAAAACTAAGTTGTTCAGTTACCTTCTAACTACTGCTCCAAGTGGTTCCTAGAATTTTTCTTTTGAGCTAGGTTTTCAATCCTGTTCAAAGTATTAGATGATTACTTCCTATACCGAGTTAACCCATGTTCCCCACTTTAAATCAGCATATGGTCTCCTATTAACCTCCACATCCTTAGTCTCATACCATGTAATGAGAAACTTGGAGTTACGTCCACTGGGGCATGATCTGACCATTACACTAATGCCTTCCAGTACATCAACTACTCCCCATAATTGTGGCTGAAGGCAGTAGCCAGGCTACTTTCATGTGCCGAAGCGGGAATAAACTATTCTCGGCAAAGGTGGTTAACTCTACATCTTTTTGTCCTATTTGATTTGTATATACATATAATTTTTTTTGAGGTTCAGGATTGAATTTCCCTCTCATCAAGTGTGACAGCACTAGACAATTTCTCGGTGGCTTTCTGAATGTGCTGGTAAATATTTACAGGCATCTGCTCACATGAAAATCCACATTTCTGTGGACAGGTAATTTAAAGAAAGACAACTGACTGCTTACATATGAGCCCCTGAATCAGGAGGCGGGCAATTATTTTGGGCAGAAAGCTGTTTTCTGAGTTTTGGCAAGCCATCGAAGGAAACATGAAAGGCGGCTCAGGGAAGATAAATAATAACTTTTCTAAATTTTTTAGGGGCCCTGCAGGCCAGATAGAATGGTCTGGTGGGCCTCATCTGGCCCCCAGGGCACATTTTGCCCACCCCTGCGCTAAATGGACAGGAAGGGGGCATGTCTACTGCACAATATTTGTACAAAGATAGCCATGCTGTTCTGCCAAATTGGGCTTCAAATCTAGTTGCTTTTACTAAAGAACAGCATTTAGTAAAATATATATATATTTTTTTTTAAATAGATTTTCAAAATTACATTGGAATTCAAACTTCAGGAACCTCGGTGCTTCTAAACGAAGCTATAGAGATTGCCTGCTCTCTAGTACAGGGCATTCCAATATGTCCAGGAAGTTCTGATCACATTAAGCATTGCTGTCTGTTAGCTAGATGAGAAGTCCATTTGGACAAACTCTTAGATGGTGCAAGCTGTCTTCTTGGCAACAAATAAACTTGAGAGATGCAGTGATTTTGTTTTATTCAGATAAAAAAAGATAAGGCTTTGAGGACATCTTCAATATGCAGGCTGGCTTTTGGTTGGGTCAAATCAGGATAGTGAAAGAAACCAGTAAAACACATCATCGGGTTCAGATGAAACCCTAAAACTGTTTCAGGAAGGTAACCAGCTGTCTCTTGTCCTCCTGGCATGCAGTGTAGGGTGTGTCCATCATGAATGCTTGCAACACTTCTGGCTCAGGGGTCTACTACTACTTCTTTCAATTTTTCTTAATGCTGCTAAGTGGAAAGAACTACTTAAAGAATTACTGTATTGAGAGATGCTCTAAATTAAGCCAGACACAATCCAGAAAATAATGTGCAAATAAGTCCCCTGAAGATGAAACAGCAGCAAACCAACTGAGATCTATGATGGGGATTAGTGACATCAATCACCATTCTGAACTTGAACCAATGGACAGAAGTGTGCAATTTTCTCCAGTACAGCATGGAGCTCCACTCTTGTGTCCAAGGTAAAGATACATTATCTCTATATGAACTGTGTGGAACATTTGTGTAGTGCTAGCCTCACTTTCCAGATGACAGGAATAGAGCCGTTGCAGTAAATTTAATTGTTGTGATCCGATTCAATGTCAAAGTTATAGATTTGATCTCAGATGTGAGATAATAAGCCAAGGAGAAACTGCCCACAGCCTTAGCAGTCTTTAAACTGAAAATGGAGAGGGAAACAAAACTTGCTGGCGATGCTGTAGATGTTCCAGGGTGGCTATAAAAGATCTGGGGAAAGGGATTTGGCTCAATTATTTTCTCTCTTTTCCTGCTAAAGGAGTGAGAGCAGGAAATAGCCCCAAGGCTTCTCTTCTGTTCCCCTTATTGCTCTGCCTAGAAGATGGAGAGATCTATAACTTTCAGGTTCAATTCTAATTGCCAATCCAAGCGGTGAAAACTTGTCTACCACCATTACAGCAGATGTCATTCTAATTCCTCAGTGCCTTCTGCCACCTGGAATCACTATCCCCATTGCACCGAGGGCATAGTCCTCCTTTGGGTACCTGATTTGCACTGTGGCTATAACTATCTGACTTACGTGTCTTAGATACTGACCCTGAGGAATCAGGGAGACTTGGGGCAGTGCTTTACTTTGCTAACAGAAGCCATATTTTGAGCTCTACTTTTATCCAGAAGTGGAAGTGCCCCATCTGAAGCAGCTCTATAGAGAGCGACCAACACTTACCCCATTCTGTTGTATCTATAACTCAGACCTCGGAGGTCAGGAACAGCAAAGGGAAGGGTAAGGCGTGTGCACAGCGCCCCGTGGGCACTACTATGAAACAAAGCACCATCCAAACTGCAGGCCAAAATATTCCATGATTGGGAATGTGCACAGGCTGCTCACAGAAAGGCTGCTTTTAAAATCTTACCGACAAAACATTTTAAAGGATCTAACATGAGAAATATAAATTGTCACCCAAGTGCTGTAAATAATTTTTATAGCTAGGTGCAGACAAATAGTAATTTGCACATCCATCTAATTATTTTTGCTTTAAAGGGTGCAACTTAATCATAATACCAAAATCACTTCATGTGTGTGATGGGAATGATCCTGGCCTTGGGCAGGGAGATGGACTAGATGACTTCTTGGGGTCCTTTCCAGCCCTACTTTTCTCTTCGCTCAAATAACTAATCCTAATTAAAGCAACAAATGTACTCATGTGCATAAAAGCTTTACCTCACAAATGCAAGATTGGGGCCTTTATCTTTTAGAAAATGTCTGCACTACATTTGTGAGGTCTGGGTCAAAAAAATCACTGCATAATGCTATGCTGGCAATCCGTGCCTCTGTGATTATCAAAGCCTGCACATTCATTTCCTCACCCAATAAATGCTATGTCCTGAATATATCACTGTCACCAAAAGTGCTCTTTAAAGATAACCTTTGTTTTAGCTTTTCTTATTATTGATTTTTTTCAAATTTCAGTAGAGAATGAACAGCAGCAGCATTAAGTGCCTAAATAACGGAGGAGAAGGATTTTCTCATTTTTTCCCCTGCCGAGATGGACTAGTAGTGGGCAGAGGAACAGAAAAGCAGCATTAAAATGGATTGCATTTCAGAGCTTGTAAGAGCCAAGTAAAAATTGCAGACTTGAGATGTATGGCTTGGTTTATTCTGTAATTTTACCCGTTCCTGTGATGTCTGGTAGCGGAGATGGAGAGCTGTAGGATCCCAGTCTACAGCTATGTAAGCATTTCCAACACAAGCTCTATCTTCTGTGCACTCAATTTTACAGCCTCGACAAAATCTAAATGAAAAGATCCAAGTCAGTAGTGACAAATGAATTGTCTAACAACATACATTCCTGTTAATCAGAACAATACTTTATTCTCTAATTCTATTCTTGCTTTTATAGACTGCCAGTCAAAGTTTTTGAGGCTGTCTCTGTCAGCAGAAAGGGTGCTATTTTTCAGTGGGACAACTGGATGCGTGCTTGTTACCCAGCTGTAACATCCTGACATTAACAAGATAATCTAGTTCCTATTGCACGGTACTTCACCGAGCTCAACGCTGTATCCCAACTGTGACTGACCTTGCTTAACATGGTGAAACTTCAGTGCCTTGGCTCCACTAGGATTTTACAGTGTAATAGATCATGATTATTACTTGTCCCACTGCAACAGAAACCCTTTTTTGCAGCAAAGACATGGACTGAACCCCTTCCAACAGCACAAAGTGACAAACATGTCTCAGGTGGCTCCCTCTTCCATTCTCTCTGCTTCCCCTTCACCTCACAAGATAAAGTTTTATGAGGACTTTTGCATTTATTTATTCTGTGCTGCATTATATTATTAGTGTGACACACTTGCTGTGCTTTGAGAATGTTCCTTAGGTTAGATGACAATATTATGTGTTACAAAGGGGGGGGGGGGGTCATTTTTTCTTTAGTCTCTTCTTTTCAGTGCAGATGAGTTAAGTCTGGAGGCCTCATAAGAGGTTTACATCAAAAGGCAGCCTCTCAAGCCAATCTAGTGCAAAGTCACTGATTATCCTCCAGTTCAAAAGACTTTAAAGACTCATCTGCATTAGATAGAGCCATGTACTAACTTAGCCTCACTGTCTTCTGCAATAAGAGAAGTACGTGTACCACTGCTTTTTTTAAATGCTTTGTGCCCAAAGATTACAAGCAGAGACCTAGTCCATCCTCAGATGCAAAGTCATACTGGTAATGTGAACAGGCCCCAGCTCCTGCATGCCCTCTCAAGGTAGTCCGCCTACTGTTGTCATCAGTTCCTACCCATACACAGAGTCAAGAACAAGCAGCTGGTAAGAGACTATTTACAATGGGTAGATAGAGCTGGAATGAAAAGAAATTAGCACAGAGAGGAAGCAGCGTGGTAGCAACAGGACATCTGAGTCACAGGAAAATGAGCACTGAGCTTGGAAAGGGCTTCTTTTAAAGACGAGAGGAGAGGGGTTAAACTCTTCATCACTGAGATACCTGTCCTGAGGACTGGTAAGGGTTAAGAAATATTGGAAACCTAGACCCACTTCTCCTAATCTGAAGCATGCATGTCAGCTCTAAGTCATAAAAAAAAAACATTCTGAAACCCTGAGTGATTTGGTCAAACAAATTCCAGATTAGAGGTAATGTCAGGCGACGAGAAAGTCAAAAATCCATCATCATAAATTCAATTGCTACTGAAGTTACCCGCCAGCATAACTCCTGGAAAGGCAAGTTACCTGTACCATGGACACCAAGCACAAGAATTTCCATCCTTCTGCACAACCCTTAGTGTGAATGGATACTGATACCCCATGCTGTCATCACTGAAACAGAACAGAAAACAGCAAAAAACATGAGCATTGATCTAGTCCACTGAGTTTCTCTCCACGCACCTGTGGACAGCACCTCACTTTCCCTGCTTTTTGCTTTTTTTCTGCTTTGAGGGGAAAGCAAGATGCTTTAAATACGGCAAGTAAGCTGGAAAGTGCATAAGATCACTGCTTAACAGAGCCCATTCCAGCCCATCAAGAGTTGCTTAACAAAACAAGATACTACCTCCTTGTGTCATCTAAATTCTGAATACACACACACAGTAGCACTTGCGTCAACATCTGCTCAGTGGGAGCGTCACATTAAGCTGCAACATTTTTAGAGCATCCGAGGAGCAGCAGGCATAATTACAACACAAATCAATCATACTATCAGAACACAATCATTCTATCATAAGGTAAAATGAAGCTATTGGACCATTTCTGTGACAAGGACAGTAATAAAACTACGGGAGGTGGCAATTCATAAATACTTTGAGGTGGGAAATCTCACATAAGTCTGTAACAGCAGAATGCTCTCAGCACAAGCTAGGTAGTTACACAATGGTCCACATTACCAGGCATTCAAAACAACAGACTGACTGGAAAATGCTTACTCATCTCATGAAATGCTTTACACAGAAAAACAATGAAACACTTAATTCCCTTTATTAAGAGATAGAGGAGACTTGATTCACACCAGTAACAGACTTAAATAGGGACACAGCATGATATCTGAGAGGACCAGTCTACATATGAAAGTTGCAAACATTCAACCAAAAGAAAGTTCTTAACCTATTCACTACATTTATTATTTATTAAAAAAAAAAAATCTTTGTTGGACAAATTGAATTCCATTTAAAGCAGGCTTGTATCAACTGAGTTTGTAAGCTAAAGTGATAGAAGCCAGGTTTAAATTGTGCCCACAAAAGATTTGCACACAGTTTGTCAACTGTGCTTTTGTGGACACAAATTCACAAATGGGCACAACTGTGAAGAGTGCAGACAGCGAGAGGAAAGCCGTTTAGAAGACTTAGACTCTTTACCAACGCTTATCTCAAGTCACACGAAGTACTGGAAGCCAACTCAGTTAGGAAAGCAATGCTAATAACCAAACGTATTACCCTGCGGGCACATCTACACGTGAAATAATTCAAAGCAATAAACTCGTGTGCGCCATTTGAACATGCGCCCGGGACTGCAGATGTAGATAACAGACTATAAGATGAGAGACTAGTAGATAATTGTCTATTATCTACATGCACGTTGCTGCAGAGTAAAAAACTCCGCAGCAGACAGTACCTGTGTTTACAAGTACTACCCTGCTGTGGAGTTTATTAGTTTCCTGCAGCCAAATAAGGCCACACACGTAGACACCAGCCAAGACATTTACTGTGGAGCCAGTTAGGCAACTCTGCAAGAAACATCTCGTGTAGATGCACCCTGTGTGGTACTATTCAAATCTAGTTCAGAGATGAAGTTCTCTCATCTTATAGTCTATTATCTCTAACAAACAAACTTAATTTTGTGTAAATCTTTTTAAATCAAAGCTTCCTTTGGCATACAAAAAAGACAGGGCACAAAAAGTGGCTTAACACTATGCTTGTATTACAATTAAACTTGCACTTAATTTTATGATCAAGGATAATACTAATCAAGGTATTGATGATCTTTCAAGGTCCCTTCCAGCCCTTCAGCAGACAAATGAGTGTATTTTCTTATTTTCTCATACATCAGGCTGTAGAATGAATTATTAATTGCTGATTCAAGAGAGCAGTATATTAAGCATAGCTTCACCAGAAAGCAAAATATGGGTATCTTAATAGCATATGTAGCATCATTTTTCAATTTGCTGTACTTTCCAATGACTTGCTACAGAAATAACTCACCATATGGAACCTGCAAGCAACAAAGTGTCGGAGGTAAAAATGCATGCAATGGTTTCTAAAACTGTTGACATTTAGAGTTTAATTGTGCTCTAAGACCATATGCTCATCTGATCAAGTATTTCTTGTCAGCAGTTAAAATTGACAAAGTGAGGTTACACATTAATATCAGTTAATCCTTATTAAGGAAGGATTGTAGTGGGCTGCAGAAGTGTAGGAAGGGAGGGTCGTAGTGGATAACAAGTCACAGGCTGGCATGTCAAACTCACCAGTCTTGTGCATGGTTACTAGCTTCCTGGGGAGGGAGAGGGCTGGCAAGTCGGGAAACCTGAATCCATACTGCATCATACAAGTCTTTTTTCCGAGTATGGACAGTACATGGGACAATTAGAGGCATTCCAAAGAGACTGGGACGATTCTTCTGAGATGAGAGGAAATACAGTTCTGTCCGCATCTGTGCACACAAATTAAAAAATGACCGTGATATATTTGTGGCTGCATGCACATGGGTTACTGTGATCATTAGAAACCTGACTCTTCCCACTTGTTACTTTACTTTTTCCTGTGCCAAGTGTGATTTTGAAACAGCCTAATAATGCTGTGAAAAATTACTGGGAGAATCTCAGAATTTCCTTAAATGATACAGCACTAATAATAATAATAGGTTGAGCGCTGAGCTAGACCGAGAGCTCCCCCGCTCAGTTTTATTGTACTGTGGCAATGTCATACAGACTGCTAGTGTTAAAGCTCTGTCAGTCGTACAACATAAGCCATTTTCAATTGAACTTCTCTTTTTGCATGACTATTAACATACATACATCTCATAACATTCCACACCAAGCAGTAACTTTAAGAAATGTAGACTAGCACCTGATGATACTAATATCCATGCCCAAGAACAAGCTCTGCCTAATAATGCAAGTTTTTTTTATACCTGGACAAAAAGATGGTATTGTGACACATATGTGACAGGAAGTAAAAGTTTGGCACATTAATTAAGTGGTCTCTCTCATTCTCTTCAAAACAATACATCCTACCTAGCAGACATTGGGGTTTTGTAAATAACATTTTAAGCCTTGGATACAAAGAATGAATTATTAGCCAACTGATCCACTCCATTAATCATGGTACTGGAAAGAGTATGTTCTAAGCATCTACTCTTGCTATAGACTCCACAGGCTACTTCACTGCTTTACACGTTTTGTAATTAAGAGTTTGTATCTGCTCAAGGGCATTTCACAAATTCCCTAAGAGATCTTGTGAACTTCTGAATGAGAACGGTGGTGGTATTACTGGAAAGAGCCCCACAAAAATACACAGTTAAGAGCAAAGTTAAACAGTCTTCCAGCCCACAAGCACTAGCTGTAAATGTCAACTGTTTCTAATGCCTGAAAACAAATGTATCTGTGGCAATCAGTCATCCATCCATCCTTGACATTTATAGTTTAACTTGGCTAGAGATGCATTTACAAAGAGCACCTGACCTTAACAAGATGACCCTTGAAAATACTGTATACCTTAACTCTATACTATTCCTGTTAAGGGGGCACCGGTAATCCAGAAGAGAGAAATGAAGAGACTTTCAAGTAGCTTCTCAAATCAGATTTCTTTTGCCCAGAATAAAAGCCTGGAAATCACAGAAATGGATTTGACAACAACAAAGAAGCATCTTAGTGCTAAGGAACTAGGAAGTATGCGGGCAGTGAGAAAAGCGATACACTTCTAGGTTTGACACCGAAGCTAAAATTTTGAAGAACGCAACATGTGTGTTCACAAAACTTCGCATATACACATGCAAAACAGGCAACTGCACACAAACTGGTAGCAGCGTGCCTCTTTTCTAGGAGTATAAATACAGGTTCAATAACAGCAGAGCCGTCCACAAGCCCACTGCCTTTTTATACATAGGACATTTGTTATCAGTGCAAAAACTACCAACCATTTTTCTGTGGACTGCTATTATATATCCTATAAATGGACTATCAGGAAGCAAGGACATGTGACCATTCAATGTCCAATTGGCAAGGTTATTTTCCGTTCCACATGGCACTACAGTATTTGGCATCCCGTTTGGAATTAGTGTTGGTCGGGGAAGATCTCCATTCATCATTATGTTGAGCATCCCATTAGTTGATGGCCCAGTCGAGAAATCTGAATTGAGATACAAACACGTGATTAATAACTTCTGCTACTTGAACTCTTAATATTTATAAAGTATGATTAAATGGCTTCGGTTATACACCTCTCTTCTCAAATCTTGCTTATTAAATGCAGTCTTGCATAGCAGTGATCCACATCATTTACTGAGTTCCAAGAATATACGCTGTTACAGCGCACGCTGACAAATCCAGAATATTTGAATACGTATCCTAAAAACAATTGTGGCTTTGAGAAGCAGACGCTGCAGCCCTGCTCTCAATAAACAGCCTGCTGCTGGCAGCATTGTCTACTGGTCGAAACAAGAAACTGAATCAGATTCTATTCCTAGTTCTCACAAAGGTTTACTAAGTGATTTGCTGAAGGGCAATTTTCTATGCTTGTTATGCTCTTGGTAAAATAGGTAAATATAAAAATTATCGACCTGAGAAGTACTGAAAAGTATGCTTAATTTATAAAACATTCTGAAATGCTTCAAGGAAACGCACAATACGGTTATTATTGTTCCAGCATAGTTGCCAAATTTAATTATGAATTCATTAGTTCATCATCAACAACCAGAATTGGTAAAGGCAAGTACAGTTTTAATATTTCCGGTTCTGGAAATTTTCACTTTTCTACACTCCATTATCTTGGTCTGCACATAGCTTTGTATGCAGGCAAGAGAGAGAGTTGCAATCCACACATTTAACAGTAAGTGCAAAAGCAAAACTGGAAAATGTTATACAAACCCCATACAAAACTGAAGATGACTATCCACCGATTGCTATCTGAACTCTGCTCAGAGGTTCATTTAGAAGTCCTATCAAAGCACTTAACGTGGTTCTTACATTTCTTATTATTTTGATGTAAATGATCCTGCCCTACTTCCATATTCTGAGTGTGATCTTAAGAGGATCACCCAAAATCAATATGAACTGAGGCTGCTCGGCCTCCTCTCTCTTGACAAGTGGGCTTTCATCTACTCTCTCTTTAACCCCGTTTCCACACTCCTACTCCTTAACCTTCTACTTGGAGAAGCACTGCTTTTCTCCTGCACATCTCCTTTTCTACCTGATCAATCCCCACAGGTCTCTGTAAACAAGGAGAAAACAGAATATATGTTTTGTTTTACCTGTTTGCACAGGACTAGAAGCAGACATAGGGGATCCTGGGACCGGTATCTCAAATGCACACAAAAACCCGCTCACTGATAATCGGACTTTCTGGTTATCTTGGGGAAAGTTCTTGAGAGAAAAAACGAAATGAAAAGGAGTATAAGAAAAGCATTTATTTACTTGCAGGTTTGAAACAGGTATGTTTTCTTTTAAAAACAACATTAGTAGCATAGTCTGCTTCTGCTCTTCATTTCAATTCTCTTTCCCATCTGCTCTGTTGCACCTGGTTGGAGATTCTCAGCAGAATCACACTTTTCATGTTTGAAATTACCAGGAAGTGCTCTGGGGAACTACTAATGATCTACTGGCCAAGCTGAGAACCCCTAGAGCCTGTAAGCATATAAAACAGAGCTTTTAAAAATAGTGTGACAATGACGTTAGCTTTAATATACATACTAGAGACATAATTAAGAGGATATATTTTAGATTTCCATCCCCAACATATTTAACAATCTTTTATAACCATTAAATCACTGTCTCATGTAAAGCAGCCCTTAATCAAAGATAAACTGCATCCTTAGTTAAAAATTGGTTTGTATATAGATTTAGCTAAACCGATGCAAGCTCCTGGGTGGACATCTACTTTGATTTAAAAATCCCTTATTTTGGTTCAGATAAAACGAAGGGCTCTGCCACATCTCAAATGAAAGCTGGACTGAAACCGCCTATAAAGTTGTTCTGCATTTTCAAGCACTAACTTGGTAGCTGGTTGGTTCTTTTTATAGCTGGATGGATATTTTTAGGGAGTGATAAATACTTTGCGTACATAGCCAGTCCCAATTTATTGTGCAATTAACCAGTTAACTGCACAGCTTCATTAACATGGGGCAGGGGCCCCCGAGTCCTAATCGACTTAAGCTAAATCAAATTAAGCTAGGTTTTATAAACCAAAGCAAGCATCTTATAGGGGTTTAACTAAATGGATTTAAAAATCTCATATTTAGTTAAACGGCTGCATTTCTTTCATGCATACAAGTGCTTAGCTTCAAGAGCAGTGAAGAAATTTTAGACTTGCTGATGTGTAGACTTCAATTGTAAGTACTGAATGGATGCTGATAGCAATGAAAGCTTTTTACCTTTATGTTAGAGCCATGTACTTCTGCAAGGAGAATCTGTTCTGGTTTCAGCCCACAAAGCTCACTTAACTGCTTTTTCAAACCTGTATATTTTTCATCCATATTCAGTCTCAGACCATATCGAACAGGGGTAGTACCATCTAATTTAATTACTTTAAGGGAATGAAACTCAAGTTAGTCAGGGAAATGGTAACATTTTAGTAAGCACAATGCATGACATTTACCCACTTATTAAAAGCGATTTTCTTTCATGCTAAGACTTTACCTTTTAACCATATCCCAGTCAGTTTTCTACCTTTCAAAGGCAAAAGGCTTTTTCTAGACAAGTGGCAGAGAACCTCCATAAACTGTCCCAGTATAGGAAAAGAAATGTTGCAGGTGTTTCTTTTGCAAACTGAACTAGGATCATTGCTACATGAGAATTCATACTGCCAAATCCGTACTGATCCTAGTGTAAATTAATCCAGTTTTAAGAGTGCATATTTATACGAGAAAATTTTACTTTATGTTCAAGAACTATTCCACTACACAGGTGCCAAGTGTGAATGTACACAGGACTCTGACAGCTTTACTGTAAAGCTGTTGTATGTGTACAATTTTATTCTGGTACAAATTTAAGCATAGGAACTTAAATCCTATTACCCACCTGTAATTTCTAAGTGCATGTAGCTGTCCATTGGCAGAGGCAAGGATAAAAAATTAAAAGGGTCAAATCTAACGCTTATGTGTCCACATGTTTTACATTTTACTTGGGATTTTAGCTGCCCATGAAATAAATCCACTACAATTGAACGGTTCCTTCTCAGATGATTTTCCCAGGCCTGAAAAAAAAATATGAAAAAAAAAACAACATATTAGTAGCTCAAGCTTAATTGCTTAGACTAAGAGTGTTGTTGGTTGTAGTCATGTTGATCTAAAGACATAGGCAGACAAGGTTCTTTGGGTAGATGCGATGCCTTTTATTAGACCAACTAAACAGTTGGACAAAATGTTCTTTGCAAGCTTTCAGGCACAAGTGCCTTTCTTCAGTCAGAGAGAGACTCTGTTGGTGTTACATTTTCCAAGGTAGAAAAGAAACTAAGTGGAAGTTTGTTGCAAGAACCCAAGAACTTGAAGGAATCCTTCAGACCCGAAAGATGTTCTACTAGAGACAAAAAAATCAGTGTTGCAATAAGCAGGAAGAATTTATTTTTAACATTAGAGAAAGATTCTGTCCCTAGGACAACCAGACAATGCAACAGCTGTGTTAAGAACTTGTCGCTATGACTGAATATCTGTAAAAATTCTGAAAACCACCTAGATATTCTAACGGCCTAAAAATGATATTGCAAAGTTCCATCTTTATGTCCTTTCCATGATTTCTAGATAAAATGTCTTCAGTTTTTAGAAGCAATGACCCTTCTAGCTACCAAAACCGCAAATACAACTTGCGATTTAAAAAAGCAGCCATTTATTCTGCTACTCACAACATTGCCCGTAATAAATATTTTGACATCTGAATTTATCTACCAATTTTCTTGAGGCATGATACAGAAGAGAATTCAGTTGCTTCTTTAGTAGCACTAAGACAACTCATGAATAAAAATTCATCTATGTAACATAAAGAGGAAAAGGATGAAACACAGAAGGAGAAGGTTGGCTTAATGGGAAGGTGACATTTCTACCAAGTACCTATTCTATTACTTCAATTTAACAGATGCTGTGTTTATTCAGACAGCAGCATGTTAATGGAAAGCCTGCTTCAATTACAGTCCCATTTTTTTTCTAAACCTATTACAGTATCTATGTTTTATGGATATGAATTACACATCAAGCATCACGACATTTTTGGAACTTAGAGAACAAGGTGTATCATTAGGTTTGATACTTCAGCCAGTGATTTGAAAGAAAAAAAATTCAGGGATATGAATAAAAGGATCCTAACAAAAATGTTTTAGGCCAAATTTTGCAGTTTTTAGTGAGGCAAATACAACCACATTTTTCAATTCACAGGTCAGATCAATTCCCTTACATGCAAAATGAGTTTGCAGTGGAAATTAAAACCAAAATCTTAAGTTCACTGACAAAAGAGAAGGTCAGTATTAGACTGCAAAAAATATAAAACGCTATTCAATAAGCTGTTAAGATCCAGATAAAAGTTATTACATGTACTAGGAAGTCCAGAAATACACTCTAGCCTTCATAGCAAAATATGTGGTTTACTATACAATTCAGCTTGCATTGACATTGAAATATGAGGACAGATTAATTTTAGCAAGACTTTTGATATGGTCTTCTACAACCATCTCATAAGCAAGCTAAAGAAGTATGGTTTGGATGAATGGACCATAAGGTAGATAGAAAACTGGCTGGATCATCAGGCTCAAAAGATAGCAATCAACAGCTCGGTGTATATTTGGCAGCCGGTATCAAGAAGACTGCCTCAGGGGTTGGTCCTGGGGTAGGTTTTGTTCAATATGGTCATCAATGATCTGGAAGCTGGGATGGATTGCACCCTCAGCAGTTTTGCAGATGACACCAAGCTAGGGGGGAGCAGTAGATATGCTGGAAGATAGGATGAAGATTCAGAGAGTCCTGGACAAATTGGAGGACTGAACAAAAAAGACAATCTCATGAGGTTCCATAAGGACAAGTGCAAAGTCCTGCACTTAGGACAGAACAATCCCATGCATCAGTACAGACTGGGGGCTGACCAGCAGCTCTGCAGAAATAGACCTGGGGTTTATAGTGCACAATAAGCTGAACACAAGTCAACACTGTGCCCTTGTTGTCAAGAAGACAAACAGCATACTGGGCTACAATAGTAGGAGCACAGCCAGCAGATCAAGGGAAGTAAATTACTTCCCTCTATTGGCACTGATGAGGCCACATCTGGCACCCTGTGTTCCAGTTTTGCCAGCAGGTTCTGGGTGAGGATTGGGACTTGCTACAGCTCCGGGTGGGAGGGAAACTGGGAGGCAGAAAAACAGAGGATTGGGGGATGCTACAGCTCTGGGGAGGGCAACAGAGAGAAAGAGGACTGGGGCATGCTACAGCGAGGGAGTGAGACAGGATCAGGATGTGCTACAGCTCTGGGGACAGGGAGATGGATAGAGACAGCCCTCAAGAGGGCACCAAAACTAAATAACTGGCGCTCCAGCAAAAATAATTGCCAACCACTGGGCTAAGGGAACTGGGCTTTAGTCTGGAGAAGAAAAGACTGAGGGGGATTTAATTGCAGCCTACAACTACCTGAAGGGGGGTTTCGAAGAGGATGGAGCTGTTCGCAGTGGTGGCAGATGACAGAACAAAGAACAACAGGCTCAAATTGCAGCAAGGAACGTTTAGCTTAGATGTTAAGACAAACTCTCACTAAAAGAGTAGTAAAGCACTGGAACAGGTTACCCTGACAGAAAGGTTGTGGAATCACCATCCTTGGAGGTTTAAAGACCCAGCGAGAAACTCTTGGGTGGGAAGATATAGTTGGGGCTGGTCTTGCTTTGAGCACAGGGCTGGACTAAATGACCTCCTGAGGTCCCTTCCAACCTTAAATTTTCTATGATTCTACAATATGTATAAACACTCAAAAAACTGAATAGATATTAACGACAAAAAACAAAGAATGGGAATCAAATTTACAAATTACATAGGACTAGAAGAGTCATGTCATGCCACTAAGTACAGTCTCCTGTATATGTAGGGATCCATTTATCCAGAGTTTGGAAAATAATCTGCCCCAATCATTCACTCTCTCACAAAAACAAAATCAAAAACACCTTACAATGCAACACAGGTTAAAAATGTGGGAAACCAAGAATATCACCACTGGTAAAAGCAGAGACATTACTCTCTGGAGGCATCTGATGAAGTTCTAGGTTGGAGGTTGCATTTTTAACCTTTTTATTACAGAAGGTGGTAATGCAAAATTTCCTTTTAATTCAACTTTGAGCAAGGCAAGCAAAGTTCTTTATACCAGAAAGAAAAACATTTCAGAAAAAGCCCAACTCCTTGGCTATTTTACTGAGCCTGTAAATATCCATGCTGCAGTGGGTCAGGAGTTAACTGGTTTTATTGAACCGAATGGATGAAGCATCATTCTCTCTTTCTAGCATATTGCAGAATCCTGTAATTTCTAACAGTTAATAAAATTGATATATTTAGAAAATCTGCTCATTTCCCTGATCCTGTACTTTTGTCGGAAATTTTATGCATCAGTGCAGATTCCTGTGTCCTAGTGATAACTATTACAAGGTTAGATATACCTCTGCTGCTACCTCCCAGTCTGGTCGACCATCACTATCTTTCAGCTCAACATATGGCTTATCATGAACTCTGTTCAGGTCCTCATGAAGACCATCCAAGAGAAATGCCAGAAGCTCCTGGGAATCTTGCTGCTGGAAGCCATTAAATCTTGGAGCATATTTTGCTATTGTCCACTATAAGAGAATAATAATAAAAAAACCAGTTATTTGATATTAAGCGACAGAGGGGACCAGAAATTTAATAATAAATTAAATTAGCCCAGGGAAGATGCATGACTGTAACCAGCTTAGGTTAGGTTCAATATGGTCATCAGTGATCTGGAAGCTGGGATGGATTGCACCCTCAGCAGTTTTGCAGATGACACCAAGCTAGGGGGGAGCAGTAGATATGCTGGAAGATAGGATGAGGATTCAGAGAGCCCTAGACAAATTGGAGGACTGAACAAAAAGACATCTCATGAGGTTCCATCAGGTTTTAAGCGTTAGAAAGACAGTCATCTAGGTTTTCATGGCAGGAAAAAGGCCACTTGTAGGTTCTGCATGACTTCTATCCATAACAAAGGGATGTGATACCTACCTGATATGCACATATTGGGCACGTCTACATGTGCGTATTTACTACACAGTAACCAAAATTACTGCGCAGTACACATGCACATCTATACTGAGCAGTAAATGTGGCACCTTACACTGACTTGAGCATAAATTTGATACTTGCATCACGCAGGTGTCAAATTTATGCCCGATTAGTTACCGCGCAGTGACGCAGATGCCTTACTGGGCAGTAACACTGTGCGTGTGGACTCACTTGGCACTAACTTTAGTCCCTAGTCAGTCCACCCACAGCATTAACGAGCTTTAATGCTTGCACGTGTAGATGCTGGCCTCATCCCGCTTACTGTGCAGTAAATTGAAGCCAGTGTAAATGCACGTGTAGACATGCCCATTAAGTCACTCCTTCAGCTGCCATTGGGGACTGTTCTAAACCTGTAGCTTGTACACTGGATTGGGAGTGTATTCCTCAAAAAAGGTACTACAGTGATCATTGTGTATCACGTTTACGACATACAGATACTTGCCATATTCTAAGCATAAATTTGTAGCTCTTAAGCAAGTACCTTACCATCCAAATGGAAGACTACACACTTACTTATTATCACTGCTGGAGAAATAAGATCCTTGTTAGTACAAAGAACTAGTTTATTCACCTAAGGAAAATTTGGAAAGATGACTTTATTTTGGGAACTTGATAGTGGATATACAAAGACACTGATAGCAACATGTTTACTGACTGTATGAATATGTTTTGAACACTGTTATTTACCATAGGCAGAAACAGAAGTTCATGAAGCTGTAGCTTTTAATCAAGGATAAGTTAAAAGCAAACAGACTGAAATGTTCTTAAGGAGATTCTTCCTCTCCCCCCCAGATAAAACTGTTATATAGAAACAAAAAAAAACTGGGATTTCTTTTAAACGCAAAAAATATATAGATCCACATTAATTTTCACCACGGAGTTAGGGGTGTTGCAATCCTACCCGTAACTTTAATGGAGCGATGTTCTTCTGAGTTCCACTCCACAACTCCTGAACCAAATCCCCATAGCATTTGGCCATATGTCCTTTCATTCCTATTGGGTTTGTCCTAGAATATATAAAGTAAATTAATTATTGACTATGTATCCAATCAAGCAGTGCTTTTAAGGCTGCAGGGATGGAGGATGGAGTTGACAAGCTTCTTGTTAGTACAGACTTTTTCACTCAGTAACAGAAGTTTCCTGTTCAGCAGCACGTAGTTTAGTGACCATCATGTGTCTGAGGGTTGCTGATACTGTCACTGAAATTATCATGGCAAAATTATCCATGCCATCTATTTTTGAAGGCCCAAATTAACTTAAAACATTATAACATTTGAAAGGCCAAAGGTCTGCCATGAGGAATACCTGTTGAGCTCATAAAGATGTCTTCCTGAGATGAAATACTGTGTTAGAGGCTGTGTATTACTGACACACTGGATACTAGAATTCATGAAGCACGTATTACCCAAATTACTTAATCCAGTAGCACCTTTTTCAGTAGGAACTGAGGAAAGAAAAAAAAAGGATACAAGCATCTGACACTCGTGTATTTTAACTGTGCCATGCATAGAAAACATGCAAAATTAGATCAACAGGGAAATTTTGCTACAGTGAACAGGACTCCAATACCTTCTACTTGGACAAAGAACCTCTGAGAGGCAGACTGCACCCAGATCTCACTCAAGCTGATCAGAACTGAAAGCAATCAATACCTTGTTGGAAGGCGTTCCTATAACCAGGGATCCTGGTTTTCTCTGGTTAAAAATAGCAAATCCTCTGGTAAAAAAAGCCCCTAATCTCTGATTAAAAAACCCCAAATCCATGTTTTTCTGCCATGACATATATAGGTATCAGGTGAGCACAATGTTTTATTGATATATCTACAATTTTAAAGCAAATTTGGAAGCCTACCAGTGCTACTATAATAAAATAAATTCTAAATACCTATATATTTTGGTGTTTGATTTGGGGTTTTCTATCATGGAAAAAAATCAGAGCTTCCCCTGCCCCCTTTGCTCACCAAGATGTGGGTCCAGCTGCAGCTGTTCCCCACCACTGCTTTGTGGTGCTGAGCAGCCCTGAAATGCCAGTGTCCCTCACTCCCGACCCACAGGCCCCCAGCCCTGCCAGTACTCCCTGAATAGAGAGAATCCCGACATCTTTTGAATACATTTTTGCTCCTTCTCTACCTTGTTCATAATGCAAAATATGGATATTATACTTGGTTTCATTCTGAGTGGAAGGGATGCTTCATGCATTTTTGCACAAAGCGAACAAAAATGCAAAGGCAAAGTCTTGCACCTGCAGGACAGGGAAATTATATGTAAGGATCTGGCAGCTGTGGGCTTGGGGTTCCCCGCCCTGCTACCCTCCCCTCACAGGCCTCTACAACCCAGCAGGTGGGACCTAGTGTGGCAAAGCGAGACAGGGAGGCTTGGTACTGCGGGGAGCCCTGCACTGCCATGGTAAGGTACCTCAGGACTGCTTGGCACTAGCAGGGGCCACAACTCCACACCACCACCCCCTCTGCTGCTAGGTGGGTAGGGGGCG